AGCCTGAGCGGTGGGTGTTGCCTTCTGACACACTTCCGGTGATGTCAGGGGGTGTGGCACATGCAAATGAGTTATGCTAATGAGTTATGCTAATGAGCTCCTGCACCTCTTTTTCTACGAAATGACCCCTGACCTCACTCCATATCAAACTTCTATGACTAGGCCAACTCTCCTCTATTAACCAAATATCCCAATACTTTGGTATGGAAAGCAGCTTTGGAAAGAGGTGATTTTTCATCGGAGAAGCTGCAAAGGGGACAGGTGAGGTCTGGTCACAATAAAACCTCACAGTCTCTTCCTCATTCAGCAAACGATACAAGGAAAGGCCTTTCCCTTGGATGCCGACCTAAATAACGCAGGGCCGGGTAATACGAGAACTCGCATGTGGGATTCATGTCTCTAACAATGCTAATCTGGCCCCAGCTCCACGCGGAGGTCCCCTGCCCAAACTGAGTCATACACAGTCTATCCCCAAGATTTATGCATTACCATCTCGCCATCATACCAATAAGTAAGAACATAAGAGAAGCCAATGTTGGATCAGGTCAAAGGCCCATCCAGTCCAACACTCTTGTGTCACACAGTGGCCAGAAATACCAGGTGCCATCAGGAGGTCCAGCAGTGGGGCCAGGACATTAGAAGCCCTCCCACTGTTGACCCCCCCAAGCACCAAGAAGACAGAGCATCACTTGCCCCAGAGCCCCTAGCTATACCTTGTGGCTAATAGCCACTGATGGACCTCTGCTCCATATGCTTATCTAATTCCCTCTTGAAGCCGTCCATGCTTGTAGCCGCCACCACTTCCTGTGGCAGTGAATTCCAAGTGTGAATCACTCTTTGGGTGAAGAAGTACTTCCTCTTATCCGTTCTAACCCGACCGCTCAGTAGGTTTTTAAGTTTGAATTGAAACTGATATGAAACGGTGTGATCTGTTTTTATCGGTACCTTGTAACCAGTGTTCCCTCTAAGCTGAGTTAGTGTGAGCTAGCTCACGGTGTGTGTTTTTTTAGCCTCCAGCTCACAGATTTTCGTCTTCACTCGGGAAGGACAGCTCCAGAGCAAAGCTAATGTATGCAGTAGCCAAATCGCTGGCTCACAACTTTAAGGCCGGCAGCTCACAAAGTAGAATTTTGGCTCACAGGACTCCACAGCTTGGAGGGAGCGTGCTTGCAACCCGCCCTGAGCCCACTTTTGGGGGAGGGCGGGATTACAAATCCCACAAATAAATAAATAAGCCCCACCCTCCCCGGGCTCCACACCCAAAAGCTCCAGGTATTTCCCTCCCCGGAGCTGGCGACTCTGTTACTAAATCCGTCCTCGGTCTGACTGTTTGCTAACAAAGGTGAGAGGCATGTTCCCCACCCAGGGGGGGCCTCAGCTGCTATCTGTGTCTCCGAAACCACCACCTTGAGAGCAGTAAGAAGGTCAGGATGCAAAGAGATAAGGTCAACATGATGAATGGCACAGAATTTTGGAAACACAAGAAAATACGTTAGACCAAACTCTGTTGGTCAGGAGAAGTGGGAGAAATTGCAACACAGGCATTTTAAAAAGAAGAAGAAGAAGAAGAAGAGATTGGATTTATACCCCGCCCTTCACTACCCAAAGGTGTCTCAGAGTGGCTTACAGACTCTTTTCCCTTCCCCTCCCCACCATAGACACCCTGGGAGGTAGGTGGGGCTGAGAGAGCTCTTTCGAGAAGGAGGAGAAGAAGAAGAGGAGGAGGAGGGGGTTATACCCCGCCCTTCACTACCCAAAGGAGTCTCAGAGCGGCTTACAAACTCCTTTCCCTTCCCCTCCCCACAACAGACACCCTGGTAGGTAGGTGGGGCTGAGAGAGCTCTGACAGAAACTGCTCTTTTTTTCAAGAACAGCTCTTATCAGAACTACGGCTTGCCCAAGGTCATCCAGCCAGGTGCAAGTGGAGGAGTGGAGAATCAAACCCGGTTCTCCCAGATCAGAGTCCGCGCACTTAGCCACTACACCAAACTGGCACTACACCAAAACCATTCGGAATAAAAGAATTCATAGCAAACTGGTCCCAGCTGCCAGGAGGGACGCCAACTCTGGGTTGAAAAATTCCTGGGGATTTGGGGGTGGAGTTAGGGAAGAGTCGCTTACGGGGAAGGGAGGGGCCTCCGCTGTGTATGATGCCATAGACTCCACCTTACGAAGTAGCCATTTTCTCCAGGGAACTGGTTGTCTGGAGATGAGTTGTGATTCCGGGAGGTCTCCAGGCTCCACCTGGAGGTCGGGGATCCGATAACAACATCTGTGTCAAAAATAACGAAGAGCCAATAAAGATATGTTGCAAAAGAATTTGCTGTAGTAATTCTGCAGAAAATTCTCTTCTATTATCGCTCACGCTAACGAATGCTGCGCAATGCAAACAATTCGTTTCGCAATATTTGCTTTATCTAAGCGTGTAGCAATCACAACTCTCATCAATTACTACTTATGAAGGAAACATTCCATGTTGACTCTCTAATAACAGAACCCAAGGTTAAGGATACATTGTGAAGACCTTGGGTTCTGTTATTAGAGAGTCAACATGGAATATTTCCTTCAAGCGTTCATAAGAAGTAGTAATGGATAAGAATTGGGATTGCTACACGCTCAGATAAAGCAAATATTGTGAAACGAATTGTTTGCATTGTGCAGCATTCGTTAGTGTGTGAGCAATGATAGAAGAGAATTTTCTACAGGATTACTACAGTAAATGATTTTGCAACATATCTTTATTGACTGTTATTTTTGTCGTAGGTGTTGTTTTGGGATTTCCACTTCATCCCGTGATACACAGCCTGCACAACTATCA